TCACGCCAACATGCTCACGGGCACTGCGGTAGTTGATCTTGGGTACTTGGTCACTAAGGCCACTTGCAACCAACTTCCATCGCTGCAGCAGCTCGCCGTGGTCTACTGCGAATGGTTCGATTCGTGTCACCTCACGCAGGAGGGCAACCTCCAGGTCTTCCCTCCATGCAACGTACTTGGCTGGTGGTCGAGGTTGTGGGTCAACCATTGGAGTGACTTCGAAGTAAATGTATGAACAGTTCATCTATTACGTCCAGCATGCACAATCCACCACCCATTGCATTTTGATGTATTTTGATTGGCTTAGACATTTCGGTAATTTGACGCTCAAATATACGGAATGGTCATGCGATTTCGTATATTTGAGCCAAATTCCGAGCGGAATTTGGCCTTCACGAAGTTCGTAGCTGTGAGTAACCCGAAGTTTGATTTCGGTAATTTCAAATTACGGGTTTGCTAAATGTCTCTAATGGTGCATAGTTTTTTCATAAATTGTCCAAACTGGATGGATTCGATATCGATAGACCAATCAAACCACGACGAATCCAACGCGACTATCCATTGGTCAGAAAAAACAGAAGGAAAAGAGTTAGGGTGGATTGAAGATGCCTTACTTCAGCCCATATTAAAATATCTGATTATCACCCACTTCGAAAGTAGGACATCTGCATGGATTGATGCTTCATACTTTATCCCATATTAAATTTACAGATCACCTTCCGTTCAATAGTGTTACCAATATGGATGGGTGGTACTACAGTAGTACACTGGTACTATACGAAGTCATCACATACAAAATCCAAGTACTATTTTGTAATTACATCCACTTCCTTATATTTCTTTCCAGAGTAGTATATTGGAAATCGCTGAGCTGCGTCGCGCCTTTCCCGCATCCTAACATGACCTGCGTCACGTCTTTCCCGCATGTACGCAAGCACAATCTGCAGGATGATCGTTTTGCAACGGAAATAATTATGGGGCCAAATTAAAATACGCATACTTAATACAGCTGTCAACATAATGATGTTCAGGCGAGTAATAATTTGTAACCGTCGCGCGCATGTGTTTGTTTCCGTGGAAGTGGGAGATTCAGTTCCTGGTTGACTCCACCGTGACAACTTGAACAATGTTGCATGTATCCCCTCGACAATGGCACACCATGATTTGAAGGAATCAAGGACCTTTCATTCTTCGTCATAGTAGTGATGTGTTGTGTCCTGTTCACGCATCTCCCCAAAGTTAGAACATCTCCACCGCACCTCTATTGCATATTTGGTCCCTCTGTACTGTAGTATCCCACTCATACAACTGTGTAAACCTGGCCTTTATAACCAGACCTCCAATCGATGTGTAACTCGATTGGAGGTCTGATTATACTAGTCAATACGGCTTGGTTTTGGATGGAGATATTGGTGAACGACATATCAATTCGGTGTTCGCAGTCTCCTCTGCGTTGGGGTAGAGATTTTGGGGAATGTTGCCTGTTCACAGTTTCAGGTCTGCACGCATTCATAATAATCTTTTTCGTAATATATAATTTCGATTCGTTAGTTATGTCCCAATAATAGTGCCAGTCCTTTGTAGTTTTACATGGGGTGGGATGGGAATGCAATAGTCCAAAGTGGACACTAATTTGACTATGTAATAGGTAGGTAGGTATAGATTATATACTGTAGTTCTGTATGCTACTATAGTACTTCGAAGTACTATTAATAGTAGTATTAATACAACATACTACAATTATAGGACGACCACAAATTTTCGAAGTACTAGTACTTGTATTACGTACTCGTGGAGTACAATGTGAGGAATTCAGTCATTGTACTGGGAAAGATTCTGGTTTTGAAATCTAAAGGTCATTCAGCACATTAGTGCTAACGTTACCGGTAGTACAGTATGAAGTTCTCCGTGTGTAGTTGTTAGATATGAGTACTTTACTTTTAGTAGTAGTACTATATTATTATGGAATTACACTTGTACTAACATGTGAATGAGTACTATTGTGATGGCAAGCAAGCACGCACGTTGAAGGGTTGCAGGGTTGCATATTTATGGGCTAGGATGGTCGGCGGTTTGAGATTCCTCACTCTAACATTTACTCCAAACTGAGCTCATCTATTGTGTGGATAGCTGTAGTTGCGAGTGTAGACTAACGAGTAACAAAGGTTGATACTTTCAAAGCAAGTGTACTACTACTTAGTAGTTAATATCCAACAGTAGTAATAGCATAATGTGATGAACAAAACATTGTGTGGTGTGTAAATCAGCTGTACAATGTACTACGTACTGTACGTAGATGTACGGAATGTAGTACCTGTCGGTAACTGAGGCAGGATTACAGTATGCTTGCGAAAGGAATTAATCAAGCTCTTAAAGAACTGATGTGCATTCTACATACAGTACTATAGGATGAAAACAAGAGGAGACTGCGCCCAAAGCGTAAGCGATATACAATCTGTCCGTGAAGTCGGTTGAAGTCGGCATGGGGAATGGAGTACGTACAATTCCCTCATTAAAACAGTTCCACTGTTGTTTTGGCCCGAAATAATGTTTCAATGAGGTTTATATGGAACTTTGTATGATCAGACCACCACACCTCTTAGTAGGGGTTCATCTCAGTGGTAAGTCATAAGCTAGCCACGCAGTGAATCAGTATTTCGGGTCAAAACAACAGTGGAGCTGTTTTAATGAGGGAATTATTCATAGAGTACTCAGTACAAGAGTACTCCTTTTCCACATGCTGATTTCAATGTCTCATTGAGATGGATTGATGGATGCACCTTGGTCAATGATATTCCCGGTTGGTTGCGTTGAAGCCTGATCTTCAATGGTTGACATATTTGGCCAACGTCATTTTCCGTTTCGCTCTACGATGGTCAAAGTCCTCATCTCCCTCAGCGCGTTGGCCGCTGCCGCTACGGCTGGCTCCGTCACGGAACTCCCCGAGTCTGTGACCAAGCTCATCGACTACTCCATCAACCCCTGCGACGACTTTTACCAATATGCGTGTGGCACGTGGCACAAGAATGCTGTGATACCCACGGACAAACAGCGAATCGATAATTCGTTCTACGAGATCGACATCCGAAACAAAGCCAGATTGACGAAGATTTTATCTGACAATAAGCCCAAGCTTGGTGAGTTTTACAACTCTTGTTTGGACACGGCTACGCTATCGTCGCTCGGCGTGACTCCGCTGGAGGACTCGTTCCAAGCCATTCGGTCGGCCAATACCACGTTGGACCTCCTCATCGTGGCTGGTGAATTGGCCAAGAATGGCATCCCTGCCTTCGTGGACATCAACTCCAGACCTGACTACGACAACTTGACCAAGAACGCCCTCTTCGGTTTCCGACCCCCCTTGCCGCTGGATCGCCCGTACTACACCAACCCTTCCGAGTGGGAGACCGTCGAAGCCGAGTACAAGGTGTACATTGCGTCGGTGTTGCAGCTAGCTGGCTACACTGCTGAGCAAGCAGCGGCTGCCGTGCCGGTGATCGTCCGTTTCGAGCAAACTTTGGCGGGTGTCGCATTCGAGGAGAAGGACGCCGATGCGCCTCGGTATACTGCGTTTACGTACTCCCAACTGGACCAGAAGTACCCTCTGCTTGTGGGCTCGTGGCTCAAAGCCAACGGCTTCGACATCTACGACCAATGGGGTGGGTCGAATGACTGGGTGGGGTTTAAGTTCTTGAACTACTTTGACAAGACCGAAGTGTTGCTGAAGAACACGACGCTGGACAACCTCCGCACCATCGTGGAGTACAAGCTCATCCATGCCTCGTCGAACCACTTGACCCCTGAATTCCGCACGGCCAACTGGAACTTCTTCGGCAAGAAGATCGATGGTGAAAAGGTGGAACCTACTCGTGAAGAGTTCTGCAGGTCTCAGACGGGCAAGACCGTGGGAGATATATTGGAACAGTACTTCATAGACGAGGTGTTCTCGGCTGATACGGCCAAGACTGCTGACGAACTGGTCAAGGCCTTGAAGTCGTCATTCTCCACTGGCATTGCCACCGCCGACTGGTTGGATAACTCGACCCGCGCCAACGCGCAAACGAAGCTGTCTAAGTTAGGCCACTTGTTGGGTAGCCCGGAGAAGCCGCAGCTGTACCCCACATTGACATTTGACTCGAAGTCGTATTTGAACAACTGGTGGAAGGTGTCTCAAGTGAACATCGACACCAACTTGAAGCTGAAGGGCCAACCCGTGTACAAGAACAATTTCGACTTGCTACCCCATCAGGCGAACGCGCAACACGACCCCCTCACGAACCAAATTTTCTTGCCGGCCGGCGCTTTTGAAAAACCATTCTTTGACGGCCAGTTTGACGCCGCTCAGAACTTTGGTTCCATTGGGATGCTCATCGGACACGAAATTACCCACGGGTTCGACAACCGAGGCCGCAATTACGATGGCGACGGCAAACGGAAAGAATGGTGGTCGGAAGCTTCTGACGCTGCGTTTGAGACGAAATCCGAGTGCATAATGGACCAGTACAACAACTTTGTCTCAAAGAGCGAAGAGACTGGCGCTGTGATCGGCAACATCAGCAGCCTGTTCTCTTCCAATGAAATCATTGCGGACAACGGGGGTCTCAAGGCCAGTTACCGCGCGTACCACGAGTACTTGAAGGAGTTCCCGTCCCAGTACACCGAAGAAGCAGGCGACAAATTGTTCTATTTGTCGTTCGCCCAAACCTGGTGCTCCAAGAACACGGATGCCTACCTGCGCGCCACTTTGTGGAAGCTGTACCCGCCCCGTCGGTTCCGCGTGACAGGGGCGTTGCAAAACGACGCTGAGTTTGCCCGTGTTTTCCAGTGCCCCACCGACTCGTATTTGAACCCGTCCAAAAAGTGCTTGTTGTGGGAATAGGGTTGATGGGTATACAAATAAATATGAGTAGCCTAGTGCATTCGTAAGGAAAAACTAAGAAAACAATGTCTTGGTTGAAGCGTGTTGCTTTCCGTGTGAGGCGCACACTCCCTCTGTTCCAAAATAAGTGCACGAATCAGGAAGTTGATGTATGCTTCCTCTAATAAAAATACAAAACACTCCAACCTTCAATACTTCAATATGCATTTATACAGGTGTAACGATACATTGGGCCAATCAGAGGATGCCAAATCCGTGTCTCAGGACCAATGTCAACTCTGCACTTCTTCCGTGCGGTAGTTGCAACAGACTTTAGTGACCTTCATGTTGCCATGTCCGACACCCTGCTGCTTCGCAAGAGCGAGGACCCGGTGAATGGTGGAAACGTGGCAGTTATACTTGTCGGCCAGGTGCTGGCTCTGACCCTTGGATAGCGTCGACATGTAGCTGCCGTTGCTGAGAAGCAAGACCTCTCGGAGGATGCCCTCGCGCTCGTCGTCGGCGACGTTGCGTCTTTTGATTCGCATTTCAAGAATGTTGGTAGTTGAGTGTGTATGTTATATATGGATATTTGTATACAAGATTTTGAACGCGGGTAATGGCGTCATCTCTCAAGATTTCCCGCTCATTGTTGCATCCATGGTGAGCTCTTGGTACGCTTGTACTTGTTCTGCAGCGTGCAGAGCAATTGGGTCGCGCGTTAGTTTGACGCATTGCAAACACACACACTCTGTGTGTGTGGCGTGTCAAAGGATCCGATACCTTAGTGGAGGTACTGAGTACTTTAGTGATTGGTAGTCAGTAGGCGCCTCGTGGTGTGTTTAACCTGACTAATGTCAGTGTGTATATTTGCTGCCTTGACGAAGGTTCCGTGGCCGAAAGCCAAGAAGAAGCGGGGGACAAAACAAAGATATCTTTAGTTCATTGTTGAGCTATTCCCTGGAGATGGTACGAGAACATTCCTCCGACGAAACGCCAAAGAACGACCGCAGTCGCGTGACCGGATCGATGAGCCGCGAGGACGCGCCGCTCGACGCACCGTTGAGAACCCGTTCAGATCTCCCTGACGACGACAGCCACATGCTGTGGTCGAGTTACAACCGCCACGTCGTGGGTTTACACATCTGCCACAACCCGAGGAGCACCAGGTTTTGTAGCAACGTCTGCAGCGAGCGATTCGTTTCGATACAAAGATCTTGGACGCAGAGTCCCACGTCGGTCGTATACTGGCTGAGCCGATGCGCTCGTTCGAATAAGACCATCAGGAGTGGGTACTCCACCAAGAAGACAAGATGATCGTATCGATGGGGGGGATCGAACCCCCGATCTGAAGCGAAGTCATGACGAGATCGATCAAGCCAGAATCGCTGAAGACAGCGGTTCCAAAGCAGCTGCACTTGCAGCGGAACAAGGCGTTGAAGAGCGACGACTTCCGTTACGTCAACTGGCTGCGGACTTTTGCAGCTGGCCACCAGCTGTACGTCGGGCTCGACGAAGAGCCTAAACCTTCGCGTTCAGCGAAGCCGGTTGTAGCTCCACGAGGCGGCAAGCCTCAAGTTTCAAAACAAGAAGTCGTCTCGGAAGACGCCACCAAAAACAATACCAGAGTCGGCGCAAATGCCGAAACGATCGTGTCCAAGACCGCCGAGCCACCTGCCAAGAAGGGCTGCTTGAAGGAGGACCTTTTTTTGTCACACACTAAATAACGAAATACACACAGAAACGACCGAAAAAAACACAAATTTTAACGAAAAACACACACGACCCAATAACACAATACAAGTCCCGAGTTCCACACAAACTTCGCCGAGCACAGCACACAATTCACCGAATTCCACACAAAAAATGCCCAATCCACACCAAAATTCCTGAACAGTTAGGACGGAAATAGAAAACATCTGACCCATCCATTTCCAGCTTGCGGACAAATTGGGATCGATCCCTTGGGAAAGTATAACGTCAGTGATACAGCAATCATGCTGTCATCATGCTATCATCATGTTGTCATTATGTTAAAGTCGCCGCATGTTACTGTGGATTGTTATTGTTACAATTTTAAAGTACTACTACTTTGTGACAAGCGACATTACTACTACTACTAGTACTACTGTCGCTTGTCACAAAGTGAAAAGAATTATTCGCCGAATGCGCTGCTGTGCTGTTACTTATCCTGGGACTTGGGTGGTGAGTGTTTTAACAGTTGGACATTGTAATATTTCATCCACCGGAATTATGGCTTCCCGAAGGTACCCATCCCAGAATGCGAAGCTTGCACAACAGAATATTTACACCATGGTCGCTTTCACAGTTCTAGCGATGCTCATTCTATTGTCCCCCATTATTCCCCAAACTAATACCCTGTGCGGGATTTGAACCCGCAACTTTTGATATGTAACCCTAATGCTCTACCCGTGTGAGCTATACTCTTACTTGATAAATAAGGAATAATTAGTGCTACCGTATCCGATAATTTTTAGGGAAATAGACGCATGTCATTGGACGAAAGTTCTGACAATATTTGATAAACATCCAATGATATGAGGGTTCGAAGGTTCCGTTGTTTAGAGTAAATTAGAACACGATAAATAAAAAGCTGAAAATAGGAATGGATTTCGATTGGGAACATGTCTAACCAATAGGAATTAAATGTGACTATCATGTAGCTTAATTTTAGTAGTAAAATAATGAACATGAAACATGTATTCAAATTAAGGTGTGCGGCAACCTACAGTACTACGTACTAGATATAGTCTACTTAGTTTTGCATGTTGCGGTCTCCACGCAAAGGAAACACGTTGGCTTCAGCATTTCCCCGACGAATTCGGCTCACCAGATTCTGTGCGCCACGCTCCATGCCAGGCAACACCATGCCAGTCTGGGTCGCTACCATGATGGCATGGGAGCAGATGCCGTCGCGGGTCCAGTGGAGGCACTGACACTGCAGCAGGACTGGAGCCGGAACTTGTTGGACAAGCCATCCTATTATTTAACGTAAAATTAATTGGAAATAAACAGAGCATTCGATTGACTCACCAATATCAGGTTGGTTGTGGGACTCAAGACGCTGAACGTTTCGCGACACTGAGTTGTAGTGCCACGCACGTCGTGGGATGTCTTCATCCTGCTCGCCTTCGGCAATTTCTTCAGGGAGGTGAAGCACACGCCATGTCACAGGGCGTACGCGCTTGAAATATTTCTTCATTCGCTAGGTTTGGACTGGATGTTGCACCCAAGGTGTCGCGTCAGTTGAGATTTCTTGAACCAGTTTCGCCACTTCTTGAACAAGGTGTGGGACATGCTTCTTGACACGACCGATTGCCTAAACAACACATATATGCAGTGAGGGTTATGATTGACGTGCATATATACATACATCTTTGAGTTTGCGGTTGAAATGTTCATTGGGGTTGTTGGTGTACGAGCACCCCCTATGGCTATGAAACACTTGCCACTTCCAAAACCGCGGCCCACGGTTTGTTGAATACACGGCGTCGTACGGCAGCCATGTGTTGAAAAAGTAGGTTCGGAACTTTCGTAGGGTGCGGTTGCCTTCCCAATTTGCGTGCGCTGTGTCCATGTTGTTGACCAAATCGGCTTCACTTGTGGACATGTGCAACAGGTAAATGTCAAAGGTGACACTTGTCCACTCCTCGCTTGTCATGCCTTGGCGTTTGTCGTAGCACTAGAACAAAACATGAGGACAATATGATGATATAAGATTACTTACATTTTTGAGGACGTGAAAAAAACACATAAGGTACTCGAGAAGAGGCAGCTCAGGTTGAAGTGCGTTGGTGATTCCTAAGAATTGTGCCTTGTCTTCGTCACCCATAAGTCTTGTCGGCCCCCATGCATAATTCAGGAGACTTGTGAACTTCTCCTTGAGTGACCGCAGTAGCCACGCGACGTCGGCGTGGGTCCGCTGCGACGTGATGCATACGCACAGAAGGTGAAATGAGCCCACCATGTCGGAGTATCCAAATACAAACATAGGGTAGCCCAACACGTTCTTAGAAAATGTCGTGACATATGACGGTCTTCGTTGGGTTGTCTGTGACCACAACGTGGTACTTTCGAAGGAGTTCCACTGTTGACAATCCTACGACAACTTCATGAGACGTACGAACTTTAACCAATGAAATTTGTACCACCGAAATGCCTGCATACCACCGTCGCAAGCTCGAAGCGACCAGCTTCCTCCTCGACACCAAACACAAATGGTTTGTGCGCAACCTGGTCTTCGACGTTGTCGGTGAGTCTCCACTTCATGAGTTCTTCAATCGCTGCAGGAACAGTGCTCTTGTGCAAAAGGTCTTTGGGCCGCATGTAGTGCACTGCATACTGCACTTGCTTCAAATTGGGACATGGCATGCCACCGAATCTTTCTTGACCAATGGACGCCTTGAGCATCTTGAACAACGTCTTGGGGTTGTGCTTGGGGTCGTCATCAATCCATGTAGCCAGCGCATTTTTCATTTCAAGAGTGACCTAATACAACATGCACACATGCATTTCCATATATACGTGGTACCTTTGGGTTTCGGGGTACTACATTACCATCATTCTGTTCAAATTCGCCCACATGATGACCGTCTCGGTGCACCGTGGCAATCTGAGTTAAAGTGCAGGTTGAAATTCGATACGAACCTACACCGTGGTAATATGAGTTAAAGTACACGTTGAAATTCGAGACGAACCTGGGCACCGTAGTGGCTGTGCTTGGTCTTCACCAGCTGGATGGACTCACACAATGCGTGTACTGTACTGTCATGACATGGTGTTTGGCCAGCGACAGATCCGGACCATCGTGATGCATGTTGCACTTGATGACGTTCTTGTGTGTAATGCCATACTCGGGTAGGGTGGCCCTAAACTCATCCACGCGCGCAGAATCCATGGTAGCAAGAAAGACCCACATGATAAAAAATGCTACTTCAAAGTATGATTTAGTAGTTTCATGGGCCGTTACATCACTTTATTGAATCGTACGCAGGAGTTTCATCCACGAACAATACAACCAATCAAATGTACGCAAGTCAAACTGTAAGCTATTCCATTAGTGCAAATTCGTCCAATGAGTTGTCGAAAACTTCTGCTAGTATTACGAATATACTTGACAAATATCTTGCTATTTCTGGGACTCGAACCCGGAACACCAGTCTCGCAAGCGGGTGCTTTAACCACTGCATCACAGAAGGTATACATTACTTATCCAAGTAAAATCATTTAAGTACATATTTGTTCATCTAGTACTATAGGCCTACCAATGTACTCTATACTAGTATCAGCCAATGCAGCAACTACTGTACATGTAGTGTCTTACCTATAACTCATACAGTACATGTCCAGTACCACAGTCCTCGTATTGCATTCAAATAACATGTACTCTAGATAACGCAGGATGTGCCGACTCACAGCATGCCTTCAACGGCCACAAGATTGTAAACCTTCCAATTCACACAGCCATACTGTATTTGTAAACACTTATTCTTCCGTAACACACGCACAGAAGTTTTGTCCAATCTCTACCTTATTTTCTCGATAAATAACAAATTATTTACACCTTGATCACATACAATTGTTTAATCATGTTTATGTAGTCTGATACAAGCTAACAGTTAAACATCTTAACTGAAATGCGCTAAAATAAATGAACTCATGAAATGGTTTATATGATATATTCATTGCTTTCTGAACATGGCACAATTAGCTCAGTGGGAGAAGCTATGCTTGGAGTGGCAAAGGTCGTTGGTTCGAACCCCTTCGTAGAATTTCTTTTTTCTTGAAATCAAACTTCTTTTGCTACCCGCACCACACATCAGGCAGCAATCTTAACTTCGCTAACGTCGCAGCCCTCTACAATAACTAGTACTGTAGCAGCTAAAAACTGTTGCTACTTGGACCCATTGAAGTCTGTGACTGTATACAGGAGTAAGATGTAGTTAAAAAGTACCGTAGTTGCAGATTAAGTAGACCTTGGGTCACCAAGTCGCTTCACACACTGTGGAGGTTGAGATATATGAGGTGGAGTCGTTGACTTGCGGGTGACTGAGATCGTCCAGGGTATTACGTAGAATTACTAGTCACACCCTCAGCTACTATGCTCCCCCTCAGCTACTCAGAAGTTTTATAGCTATGCAAGCTATATAACTTGCATAGCTATATAACTTCTGAGGGGGGCATTGAAGCTAAGGGGGAGCATAGTACAGTAGTTGAGGGGGCAGCAGGGGGATGGGGGATTCACTATTACTGTCACTAATCAAAGCCAGAGAGATCGTCCAGGGTTATTACGTACATAGTATAATCACTATTAACACCCTCAGCTACTATGCCTTCCCTCAGCTACTACGCTCCCCCGAAACTACTGTACTATGCTCCCCCTCAGCTACTCAGAAGTTATATAGCTATACAAGCTATATAACTTGCATAGCTAAATAACTTCTGAGGGGGGCATTGAAGATAAGGGGGAGCATAGTACAGTAGTTGAGGGGGCAGCAGGGGGGATGGGGGATTCACTATTACTGTCACTAATCAAAGCCAGAGAGATCGTCCAGGGTATTACGTACATAGTATAATCACTATTCACACCCTCAGCTACTATGCTTCCCCTCAGCTACTACGCTCCCCCTCAACTACTGTACTATGCTCTCCCTTAGCTTCAATGCCCCCCTCAGAAGTTATATAGCTTGCATGATTAGCACGGAGTAAACTGTCGATTCGACCGCAGCTATCACCAAGGGGGGTGGGGGATTCACTATTACTGCCAATAATCAAAGCCAGCAGCAAGTTATACGGTGCATGCACACCATGATATTGGCTTCAGACGAGTAGCGGTGTCGGGATGATAGACCATCATGTAGTTGCCTTATCACCGCATTCGTGAGTTTGCTACATACGGTACCAGTAGAACATCTCAACAACACGAACATCATTGTAGTGTACTAGTATTTCACATGTATACTAGTATGCACCCAGCCATGCCTACGATGCATGTAAACTCTAGCTAACACATGCTGTGCCGACTCTAGTACCAGTGCCACAGCATGCCTGCAACGGCAACAAAAGTGTATACCCTACGACGAGTAGTTCTAGGTGTAGACTAGCTTCGAGGCTATCCATAATGCCCTACATCTAACTACCGTACTTAAGAATTCGCTTCGGTATGCACCCAAACCCCAATGCACGCACATCCATGCAAATACAGTGTACTGTACCAGCACGTAAACCCACTTTACACTAAGCAACCTGTACCACTACACGTGAGGCACATCTATCTACAACCGAACTGTCATAGTAGTACAATACTAGTACTATCATTACCCGTAGTGTAATCCATGGCTTCAGTTGCTTTGCGAGTCGACACCAAAGGCACAAACAACGGTGTCGTGCTCACAGTGTTATAATTTGCACTAATATACGGTAAAGTTCAAACAGATATATCAGCTCCAACAGTGTCGTGGTTGAGATATGTGGCGGCGTTGCTAATGCCCTGGGTTCAAATCCTGAAATCAATCGTACTTGAACTTGCAGTACTGAAATGTAGAATCTGGCCAGTCCAAATGTGTGTGTTTTTGTCCAATCAGAGTGTATGTAGTGTATGTGGAAAGCCCACCAGTCCTTACATCTCATTTCATTATTTCCTCACGTTCGATGGGGCGGCTGCGTTAGGAGGGCACCGGAGGCAAGAGGCTACACAGCGACGGCCCGACGCCGTGAGCTCGACGATGCCAACAAGAGGTTACTTGGCGATAGCGCCACATGACGGTCTTTATATTGTATGTACTGTATTCAAAGTCGATCGACGTGGTCGTAAGGATCCACCCTTGAGTTGCTTAATGGTGCATACACCATACTAATACTAGTAGGTAATTGCGTTGTTAAGGTATTTGCTATACACACATGAGTTAAATGATGTAAGAGTAATACGAAGACTCGTTCATTTCACGGTGACTACATGTAATCTTGCCATCACTGTCATTCTAAAGCTACCTATTGCCACCGCCGACTGGTTGGATAACTCGACCCGCGCCAACGCGCAAACGAAGCTGTCCAATTTTGTACACTTTTTGGGTGGCCCGGAGAAGCCGCAGCTGTACCCCATGCTGACGTTTGACTCGAAGTCGTATTTGAAGAACCGGTGGAAGGTGTCGCAAGTGAAAATCGACACAAACTTGAAGCTGAAGGGCCAACCTGTGGACAGGCGCAAGTTCGAACTCTACTCGCATGAGGTGAACGCGTACTACAGCCACAGCAAGAACCAAATTGTATTCCCGGACGGCATTTTGCGAAAACCAATTCTTTGACGGCCAGTTTAAGGCCGCCCAGAACTTTGGTACCATCGGGATGGTCATCGAACATGAAATTTCCCACGGGTTCGACAACCGAGGCCGCAATTACGATGGCGACGGCAACTTGAAACAGTGGTGGTCGAACGCCACCACCGATGCGTTCAAGACTAAAGCCCAGTGCATTAGCGACCAGTACAACAACTTTGTCTCAAAGAGCGAAGTGACTGGCGCTGTGTTGGGCAACGACAGCAGCAATATCACTTTGTGCGAAAACATTGCGGACAACGGGGGGCTCAAGACCAGTTTCCGCGCGTACCACGAATACTTGCAGGAGTTCCCGTCGTAGTACACGGAAGAAACAGGCGACAAGTTGTTCTATTTGTCGTTCGCCCAAACCTGGTGCTCCAAGAACACGGATGAGTTCCTCCGCGCGTCTTTCAAGACGAAGTACCCACCCAAACGGTTCCGCGTGACAGGGGCGTTGCAAAACAATGCTGAGTTTGCCCGTGTGTTCCAGTGCCCCACCGAGTCGTACATGAACCCTTCCAAGAAGTGCTTGTTGTGGGAATAGGGTTCATGGATACAGAACATATAAGTAGAGTTGTGCATTTGTAAGGGAAAACTAAGAAACGATGTCTTGGTTGAATGAAGTGTGTTGCTTTCATGTGTGACGCACACAAAAACTAACAATGTGTATGTGAGATCACCCTTGCAATTCGCCTAGTTAGTTGTGTTGGGTCATGAACTTGAGATAACCTTCGGAAAAGTGATCATAAATTGGTCATTTACGTTAATGTTAATTACTCGACGTGTTTGGTACATGCACGACATCGGGTTTGTAAGGTTGGGATTGTAGTTGTTGGGGCATAGCTTCAACTACTCAACGACATCGAGTTTGTGTAACGGAGCTGGAGCATGGGCTTGTACTACTATACCACATCATGGTGCCGCCATCACAAAGCTATATTATTCGATTGGCCGCCTAACTTCGAATTCGGCCGTCTTGCTTTTTAATCTACACGACCTTTCCCCAAAGGTCGTCAGCCTACTCCTGTACTTCATGAAGTAACTTGTGGAACAAGCCGACCGCGGTGGTCTGAACGACGACGAACGCAAGTCTATTCTCGGCCGACAAGACTCCCACTACCCCTCGCCTGGTGGATCGCCTACTCCAAGACGAAAGGCGGTGAGGTCTGGTCTGAGATCCATGACAGCTTTGTGGACCAGTTCTGCAGCAGCACTCCTCGAAACCACGTGGACAATCTGATCGAAGCGTCTGAGCGTTACATGGACGAACTGGTAAAGAAGTACGCAATTTCCCATCGCTCTATGCACACTACATGTTTCACGACGACGGCCCCCGGCGACGGATTCTGTTCGTCTGGCCAGCTTGAGTCAAACTCTTCACCTACACACTCAAGACCCACGCCGACGAACCACGTTTGCCCGGCCGAGTCTGTTTGTGATGAGTCTACGGCTCCTATTCAAGAACTATCACTCGACTCGACGGTTGCTTCATCGACTTCTCGCAATCCGGTTCACAAAAGCGCGGACGACCAACCTGCACACCCAGTCTTCTCGGACGCTGAAGTGAAAGACCTTCTTTCGTCGTGCCCAGAAATACGCGAGGAGGAATATTGCAAGGAAATCGAGGATCGACTTTACCCGATTACTCCAGCTGAGGTCCGCATGCAAAGTGATCGCATCCGCGAACGTCGCAAGAACCCTGCACAGGACGAGATACTCAAAACTCTCAACCTCCTTCAGTCGGATTCCCCCCTCCTTCTGGCCCCAGCAGACATCGAGGACGAAGCCAAATGGTATGCCTGGTTCGCAGACACGCTCAATAAGAGTGGCGAGGCCAAACGAGCGAATCGCGACTTAAAAACAGCCGAGGCGGTCGCTCACATACAATGGGTCGACCCTAATCCTTACGACGTGCTATGTGAGGCCAATGACGAGTTTGACGACTCGCCTTGCCCTGGACTATACGCGGTGCCTGTTAACTCACCTTCGCCAACGATGCCAAAGGCTTCAACATGGCTGGCACGCACGTCGACTAATTGGACGACTACGATCTCACGTGCAACAATCTCGTCCAAACCACCTATCGCTTCCTGGAACGAACTACCACTCGACTACCCATCGAACAAGTCCTCCCAGTCCAGCGTGGCTCGCCAACGGATTTATTTACAGGGGACCGGAAATACCATCGTCGCTCGTCAAAACTAGACCTACCCTATTGTGGTGACTTGTTCAACGACTGTCCATCTTCATCTCGCCTTGTCGCTTGCATCGTGTGTCCGACATGTGGACACAGACGGCGACAAACACTTTCGTCAAAGCGTACATCGACCGAGTACAAGCAACAGTTCTCATTGAGACTGGAGCAACCAGTAGTTTCATCAGTACGTCATTTTGGCATCGTCTCGGCCGGCCCCCACTCAAATCACCTCGTCTGCGCTTTTTCACTGCAGACAACTCGAATCTCGACATTTGGGCCGCGCGAAATTCTCGTTTCACCTTGCTGGCGCCAATGTGTCATTTCCCTTTTGTGTCATGTATACGTCGCTGACAGACTACATCTCGGCCTCGACTTGCTCCGTTACTTGGGGGCTATCATCAACCTCAAGGAGAATACCCTGACACTGTCAGACGGACAGCGAATTCTGTCTCTCTAGCCTCTGGACGACTCCGTGTCCACTTCACACCCGGTCGGGCTCACGACGGTGGCCGAAACTATTACCGTTCCACCTCGATCCGTTTGACATCTCCCATGCGTGGCTGGACATGATCTCCCTTCGTCCATTACGTTTCTCGTGAAACCTCGAACGAACGTGCAAGCCCAGATTGCAACGGCGTTTTACTGCAAAACATCGTCCAACACGATCCTAGTCAAACTTGCTAACGCTTCGCATGAACCGCCCACGCTACAAGCCCACACACATCTTGGAACTTGGATGGCGCTACCCCCGACGTACACCGAACATACTCAAAATTCTTCGCCGCAACCCCATTCGTCTCGCCTGCAGCCGGACGACTCGTTTGACTCGCCACTGAATGGAGTACCCGGGAGGGTCCTCACTCCAATATCGTCTGTCCAGTGCAAACGACGACCAGTCCAGCGAAGGAACTACCCATCTACTGGTTCGCCTCAACTCTCAGCATTGAACAACGAGCACTACTACGAACGACCTTGGCGAAGTTCGCCGACATATTTGTCGACACGTCCAAAGCCCCTGGAAAGACACATCTAGTGGAGGTCAGTATTGACACGGGCGATGCGCACCGACCCGATCCGCCCCTTACTGCACGTCAAAGGCTGAAGTCGACATCATGGAGGCTGAACTGAACCAGTACCTAGACATCGGTCCAATCCGACCGTCCAAGTCGTGTAGAATAAAAAGCAAGACGGCTGATTTGAAGGTAGTCGGTCCATCGAATAAAATACTTTTGTGGTGGCAGTACCACGATGGGGGTATAGTAGTACAAGCTTATCCTCCAGCCTTTTCTCAACAATTGACATCGCGTCTGGATATTGGAATGTCCCGATATCCCAAGGAAGTATCGAAAAGACTGCGTTTACCTGCAAATATGGACCTTATGAATGGCTCGTCATGCCATTCGGCCTGTGTAATGCAGTCCCATGCTTCGAAAGTCTGTGCTGCGAGTCAAACCGCTCAAGGATGTGTCAGAAGTCAGGTCCTTTCTCGGCCTCGCAAGTTACTTCAGGCGTTTCGTTCGAAACTTCTCCAAGATTGCAGCACCACTTTCAGCCTTGGTCACGGACGAGACCTTCGCCTGGACGCCTGACTGCGACTGCTGACAAACTTAAGCGCAGTCTCGTCTCGCCTCCCATCTTCGCTCACCCGGACTTCGACCTACCCTTTGATATTTGAGTCGACGCAAGTCATATCACTGTTGGCGCGGTCCTTATGCAGAAACAAGATGGCAAGAACAATGCCATTGCATACGTATTCCAGTCTCTCTCCAAGGCCCAACAGAAGTGTATCACTAATGGGTATCACTGAAATCGAATGCTGGGGCGTCGTCTGGGCTACGCGTAAGTTTCGTCCATATGTTGACCGGCGACACGTCACCATCTACACCGACTATGAATCTCTCATTTGGCTCTTCAACGAAGAATCCCGATCAGGCAACCACAAACTAGCCAGATGGGCGATGGAAATACAAGGACTGCACTACACCGCGATACAGCAAGCAGGCGAACTCTATGGCGCTGCTGACAGATTATAACGTCTACCAGTTTGTCCGATCCAGACGAGAAGTACTACCTCCAGACGGAAATAGAAGTCCCTTTTCATTCTTAGAGGTTTTTTCAGAATTAACCGGAATTAATTATTTTATAGAGTCTATTTATATGTATCCGGATACGAGTCACGATTTTATACTGATTATATTATAGACCTGCATTAATTTATATTCTGTACAAAACATAGTTTAAATTGTTGCTGACTATTTGTTCATGCAGGTAGAATGCATGCAAACCACAATCATTCATAGAGTAGAACCGCCTTATCCATTAGGGTATTCATCTTTAAGGTATTATATTCCACAGGGATACGGATCATACAAAGACCTTTACAACAAGCATACTTAGGGCAAAAACAGATAACACCATCAAACAAATCACCAATTTTATTAATTTTCACCAAAAGGGACTTCTATTTCCGTCTGGAGGTAGTATGAGACGTCTGGCCCTGACTGACCCAGACATCACGACGGGGAAAGAATCTAGTCGAACCAGGTCGCATTTGTCTAAAGCAAACTTCACACAGCCGAGTCTACCAGAACCAATCTCGAACAAGGCCCCCCAGCTCATTGACTTGTACGACAGACGGGGTCGACCTAAACGACACTTCGATTGTGGCGTTACCTAGACGAAAGCACTGTGCCCTTGGACCCTCAAGTATCAAACTGCTGCTGGGGAGCCAACAATCGAACTAACGAATAGGATCGCACACAGGATATCCAACCAAATCGAACATTTGGATACTTTCTTGGGAGGGGTTCAGGGGGTTCTGCGAATGGCAAATTCGCAACAATCGTCGAGAATGATCTGCAGTGCTATATCTGGTGGGGGACAGTAGGAATGCCAACTGTAAAATCAAATATCGGTACCCCATTTGACTTGCGACGTCGTTAAGATTTCCAATATGCATCAAAATGTTCCTTGTAAGTAATTGCCAAGTCTCTACATTTCTGTCTGTACCTACGCGATATCCAAGGATTCTTGTTGTGAGGCAATCAGAGTGTGCTTCGACGATCTCCAAAACTTCGAGTGGATGCAGATGTTCAGGTAGCTTCACGACGTAGTCTTCGAATTAACCGATAGCTTGCGCAACTTGTACGAATAGAGATCCGTTTTGTACGTATCCAATGAATATACTCGATGCGCACGCGACATCGGGATCGTAGTGTTGGGATTGATATATAGGCACTGTTCGGCGTCAGTTACAGTCTCGCCCTGTGGTATTGTCAAAACTGTAAATTTCCGGATAGAACTGTAAAATTGCATTTGCAGTCGCACCGGTGGGGATGCCATAAGCCTAGAGGCGTCAAATCATTTCCCCGATAGGATACTCATGGCTGCAGCAGCTTCGTGTGGTGAGTGAAGTGGACAGTAGGCAGGAGCAAAGACGTGGGCGGCAGAAGGAAATACTGGAAGTGAATTACTTCTGACTGAAAAAGAAACAGCCAATCAAAATTGACTATGATTGGCCGCGACATCGAATGATATTCCGTGACCAAATCTATGCGCTGACTTCTACCTGAGGAAAAGCCTCTCAAAGACACAAAAACTTCCTACACAGCTAGCAGATGCTGCTACCTGACTGACAGGGCAGTGGAGATGTTCTCTGTCAGAACAGGGTGTTGTGACTGCCTCCCAACAGTGCCACGCACTGTCAACCGGAATCAGGTGCTCAGAGTTCAGCAAGAGGCTGGCGGTTAAGCTCAGTCAGGGTAACAACAACTGGTCACACCGTCTTGTACGGACTGAACTTGTCGGACGCCCCTTTCAGCAGGTCCCTATCAATTGGCCCTTTCTGAAGGACGTGCCGTGGAAGGGCCGGATGGATCAAGTAACCATCGGGATGCCGTCACCCCCTAATGCTGAACCAACATGGTCGAGGGCGTCCCAGTTACATTTCGGCGCAGTCACGAGCTAAGAGACCGGAGTTCGTGCTACCTGGCTCGCGCCGGAGGGTGGTGTCGGGCGACAGCTGCGTTACCCTTAGTTGACTGCGCAAATCGCAGAACGTTGTCACATCAAGTGGTTTGGTAAAGATATCCGGGACTTGATGTCGTGTATCGGTGTAAACAAGACTAATCGTCGGTTGTTCCACAAGGTCGTTGATGAAATGGTAACGTAAATCAATAAGTTTGGTACGCCCATGGTGATCAAAGTTGTTCACGATCTGGATGGTGCTCTGATTGTTCCTGTGAAGAGGAATCGATGTGGTGATGGGATGTCCCATCTCACCAACTGCCTGCTTGATGTACAGGCATTCTTGTGCAAGTGTGCACAGAATCATGTGTTCTGCCGTGCTTGTCGAGAGGACGATGCTCCGCAGCCGATTTCTCCGTTGAGTTAGGTTGTGATAACATCCATTGCGTCGATCTCATAAGACGCGCCGAGAGTAAGCATCGCTCGAAGGATTTCTTTGGCAATGCCCGGGTGTAGCTCTCCTCGTAGTCAACGTCTTGAATTTGAGTGTGTCGTTGGATCACAAGTCGCGCTTTGTAGCGAGCGACGCGTCTCGTAGCCTCTGTGGCTGAATCGTCGTATTTGATTTTGAACACCCAACGCATGCCCAGTGGTGTCGCATCTGGAGGCAAGGTGGTTGGTTCCAACGACCCGTTCGCATCATGGGCTGCCAGCTCGAACATCATGGCTTCAAGCCACTGCACTTTGGCTGGAGATTTCATCGCCTGTTTGTAGGTCTTAGGCTCCTCTGAAGGAATCGTGTCCTTGAGGGCGAGGAGGATGTGTTTCGGCGTCGAGAGAGTTTGAGCGCCTGATGGGTCCTCAATATACGACATAAGCAACTGAGCTGGACCGTCGCGTGGACGTGTCCGCCGTATCCAGTGTGGTAGACGTCGATGAGACGACGTATGACATGTGCTATCGCCGCTGGTCGAGAGCGTGAGGGTCGAGGCGGAATTGCGAGCAAATGGGTTGTCGTATGTGACGACGTTGGAGTGGAGGTGGATGTCGTACTCACACATGCCGGAGTACAGTATTTTGTACTTCCTGTGGAACGAGGTACATGGGACGGGGAAGTATTCCTCCGTTGTGTTGAAGGTCAACATTCGACGACGCTTGGACGTCGGAGTTGCGGACGACTGGTGTGAGGGGTGGCGAATGATGCCTCCCAAACGGGCAGGTGGAGTGATGCTGGTACGTCATGGACGACAGGGACTTGCCACAGTGTATCTGTTGACCCACGATATAAAGCCTTCCCAAGTGTGGGTAGAGGTGTGGTCGTATCGACCTCCCCAAATGGGGGGTGCTGATATCCCAGCTTTCCGAAGTGAGGGCGGCGCGGATGTCATGGCCTCCCCAAATGAGGGTAGAGGTGTTGGTGTCGTGAACGACGTAGTCCTGGGGAATTGGGTGGTTTTGAACGGCTGCCGGGCTCATCCCGACAAGGTCAAGGCTATTTCGAGGGCCTATAGCCTCCTCCGTCGAAGATCATCGTCGCTGGCAGGGCCTTGCGATGTACCTCTACAAATACTCGAGCAACTTCGCGGCCATCGCTCAGCTGCTGTTTCTGCTTCTCCTCAAATGTGCTGCTTGGGTTTGGGATACAACTCCTTGCGGCTGAGGGGCGTACAGTTCATGAGTCGGAGCTTCTATATATAAAGTACTCCTTCACCGAGTTCCGAATCTACCTCCTCGGCGCTTAACCCTTACACAGATCATCCGTCCTTACTAACCGCGACCAACACGGCGCACATTTCGCAGGAATGATTCTCTCATTAAAACAGTTCCTATTGTTTTGACCCGAAATACTGTTTCAATGAGGGAATTATTACATCCGGATACACCTTTTCGCCAGTAGCCCTGTAACCTGGGATTCCGTCCTACTCCAGAATAATGCACCAGGTATGACGAGGTATATACGCTACACAGCCAAATACACGTAAACCTGCGTAGTCTGGATGGCTCTGGTGCCATAGACGATACGGAGTGTCCCCACTGATGGTGGTGGACGGCAGTATGTTCATTAGGAACACTGCGTGGGAAATGGATTCGCCCCACAAGAACTATGGTAAATTACCATGCAGTAGCATGGAGCGATCTATGGTGACGATGATACCCATACGCCACTCGGCCACAGGGTTCTGGGTCGGGTATAGGCATTCGTGTACGTAAGGGGGGTGTCGTATTCGCTTTGAATATAGGCTCCGAGTTTGACGTACTCTTTAGTGTTGTCCATGTGGAGCGCTTGGATTTCCTCGAACTCAATGGGTGGTGAATGATGGTAGTAAAGCTCGATGACGTCGGAGCGATAACGCTGCCGTGTTTCGTGACAGAACGCGATGTACTTGTCGTACAGGTCCGCGCGCTTTTGCATGATGTACACAAAAGTGTATTGGTTAAAGTCGGGAGCTTGCCATGACTTGGATGGCCCAGTTCGATGGTGCCATTGCATAGTGCCCTGTGCACTCGACTGCGTCACGAGGACGGTCGATGTGGGGTCGGCGATGAGCGGTGAAAACCGCGTTGTCTTCGTCGTAGGTTGCCGTCGTTGGTGGCTAGAGTCCACTCCTATGGGGTGATGGAGACATTTTTATGTCGATCCATATGTAGTGCACGACCCACGGAAAATAAATTAAAGTGCAAATCTGGGATGTGATATACATCCTGCAGATAAATCACTAATGTTTCGTCGTTGGTGTCAGCGACCTGGAGTCATACCGTGCCACGGCCGATGACATGGAGTTGGTGGCCGTCGGCTGCACCAGCAATGGATGAGAATAGTTCATAGTTAATGAACCACTCACGATGGAAACGGTAGTGCTTGGATGCACGACTATCTACCGTCCAATGACGGGATCGACTTTGCTCTTTGACAACCGGGCTGGTTGGTGACACGCGAAGTGCCCATCCAGTACCCGTAAATACAAGTGATCGCGAAACAGTAGTATCGAGCGAGTCGTAATACGGACTGAAGTCCTGTAATAATGCCGAAAGTACTTTGGATGTATTTGACTTGTTGGTCGACTGTTATAGTCCCGTAAATGAAACATGTCAATATTGTTCATCTAAAATATGTCGAGGCATAAATGCCGGCATGTGTGTGCTAAGACATAAACCAGGAGTCTGGTCACGTTGTTGACGTGTGTTCTTAGACACTAGCGTACTGGTAGAGCCGCGCGACGCGCTGCGGCTTTGGCTGCGCTGGGGGGTGGAGGCCTATTGGGCGTAGCCTTGGTCGGCCGGCGGCGCGCTGCAGCTGCGGCTGCGGTAGCACCAGTCGTCTTGGTTGGCGCGATAAGACCCACAGTCTTCGCGCTATTCGTTGCACTGGTCGCCTGAGTGACTGCGATAGCGGGAAGCCGACTGAAGAAACGGTATACGGCCACGTTGATCGTCGCGATAAGCGACGTAGTCGAAGCTGTAGCCGGAATGGACGCCTTGTCCCATGCTGGCTTAGCCTGGATGACCGCTGGGAGCGTAGCCTGATGGGCCGCTTGATGCGTAGCCTTGGCGAACGGTGTTGACGAAGGATGTCCCGGTTTCTCCACCACGCCAGCTTCTTTTGCCTACGTGGCGTTTGCCACCGCGGTGGCCCCTTGGTTCGCCTTCGACCACCACCACTTGGGGGTATTTCACCAGGTCGGATGGCAGCCCATCCTGGCGGAAACACAAAATTTTGACGCACCGCGTTCTGGTGGAGCGCACCGGAGAGCTTCGTGCAGGTGCAGTCGAGTGACTGCCTTAGGACGACAGTTGTCGCGGTTACCGAGCCATGCACCGATATAGCCGCGGCGATCAGCGCTGGACCGAGGTAGTGCGGGTACTTGGTGACCAAGCCCGGCCAGTGTTGCTCAAGCAACTGGCGCATGTGCTTGTATGGGATATGTAGTACTAGTTAGTATTAATATTAATACATCTACCGGTTGTAAAACATGCGCATGGAATATTATCCGTAGTATCGATTTAAGGAATTGGAAAAGGGTAATGGCCAAAATGAATTACTGTAAAATTAGCTCACCAAAGTGCCTAACGTGATCGACTATTGATCAGCCAAATTTTAAAAAATTTCAAACTAACACTGTAAAATATCTCAATTGGTTTTCATGGCATTTCATTGAAACCAAACATTTCCGGAAAGCTGACGGAAAGCTCTTTCGCGGCATATTCAAATGTATCGATTTAAACAATACTTGGCAGGCAAAACAAATGTCAAAGTTCGGCACTTTACAAAGTCGGCCATTGATCGGCCAAAATTTATACTTGAATTAAGTATTGAAAAAAGTTGGTTCAATTTTTCGCCGAAATGTCAGAATTTTCCAGACTCTCTACTTCCTTCGATTTGATTGGAGTCTGAAGTCAGAAGTCTGACGAATTCCAGTTTAGCAAGTATACAAGCTGTAGAATACAGACTTGGCCACGTAATCGAATGCATGACATTTACAAATATGCACCCTCAGCAGCACCGCTTCCTCCAACGCTCTCGCATGTCGCTCCGTCTCAAGCTTGCCCTGTTGCGTCGTAGTCCCCCAACCTCCCAGTTAACCACACCCAATGTGACATTCACTTTGGACTCGTACTCCGATGCCGATTATGTTGAGAAGTTTCGGTTTTCGAAGACGACGCTAAGGTACCTAGTCGTCTTTCTACGCATCCCTCACCGCATCACCACCGTCGAGCGAACTGCCTGCACTGGTGTCGAAGCTTTGTGTATCCTGCTGCGCCGCTTTGCTGTTCCTGACCGCTGGTCTGATTTGATGGTGATGTTTGGGCGATCACGAAGTGGACTGTGCAACATTTTCCTCCATGTTTTGGACCATATATATGCCGATCCTGCCTATGGCTACTCGGACCAACTCGCCTCTCCATTTGGCGGTGCTCGTTTGACTGCTGCCCAGCGCGAAGTCAACAAAAGCATGAGTCGTGTTCGAATAAGTGTTGAGCGGTCGTTTGGGCAAGTACTACAATACTGGCCTATTGTCGACTTCAAAAAGAAGTTGCGCATTGCGAACAGTCCGATTGCCAAGATGTATAAGGTCGCAGTACTTTTGACCAACTGCATCACATGCGATCGAGGACGAAACACTAATAGCGCCTACTTTGGACTACCCCCGCCAACTTTAGAGGAATATTTGCATGTCAACATGTAAACAAAAATAATGAAAATTAATTTGATTTTTCCGCAACGACTTGGATCAACTTTCCCATCTCTAACAAGAGTCGTTCTAATTGCTCGTTTCGCTTGGCACTTTCGGCCATTTGAGCCAGCCGTAGCTTTTGTTCTTCCTTTTCGTACTCGAGTCGCTCCATTCTAAACGTATGGTCGTCAGTATGCTTTTGTTTCTCAAATTCGAGAAGATCTTGAATATCCTGGTCTTCTTTCTTCGGCGTCGGACCCACACTTCGCTGTCTCTTGGCCACCCGCTGCTCGGCCTCCACGCACAGCTGCGAGCCCGTGGACTCCAACGAGTCGCGACGCTTTTGCTCCTTGTCTTTCTTCGTCTTCTTGACTTCGTCCTTCGCAGCTCTGCGATCAACGATGGCTTGCAGGATCTGCACCTGCTCGGTGACCTCTTCTTCGCTGCATGTGCCGAACATGCGCTGTGCCTTGTCTATGGCCTTGAATCCTTCAAGCATCACTTCGAAGTGGTCGCGGGCCGATCGGTGGGGTATGGTGCACTCGAAACAAGAGGACAGTTTTGAGGCGATGGTCTTCCAACGCACTGTCAGCGTGCCGTACTCTCCGTCGTATGGCTCGACTCGGAGTACCTCACGCAGCAAGGCAAGGTCCAACTCCGACG